CGCCATAACAGGCGTATTACTGAAAGCCGAAGTTATATGTTAAGTTCCAACAGAGAAAAGCTAAGAACAAAACTTATCAAAATGTATGGTGGGAATTTTCTAACTGCTTTGTGATGTTTTTGGTGCAGGAAAATCCATTCCAACGAGCAGCAAGACGACAGCAGAGATCCAGTTCCTTATCGTCATCTTCCACAACAGGTGACAATAGTGACAGCACCAGTAGCAATACTACCACTGGCAGCAACACCCCATCACCATCACATACGCAGGAGCAGCATAGTGCCATTCATATGAGAGGTATATATTACTGTCTGTTTAAATTAATTCTCTTTCATTAATGCAGGTATTGCTTGATTTATGAAGGTAATTTGTTCCTTGAAAATGGTTTACCAGGTGAAAATTCATAAATTGAAAATTTTTAGTACTTTCCATGTAAAAGCCAATGATATATTCAGTGGCTCCAGAAAAATTCCCCAGTATATTTTAACATATATTTTAATAGTAAATAGGCATTAAAATAATGACAGCATTACTTTTTTATGATATTGTTACAAGTAAAACTGTTATACAGAGTGATTCAGAAAGATGGACACAATTTCAATTGACTATATTTCCTGAACTGTATGTTGCATTTGAATTCTGTAAAGTACATTTGAAAGAGGATGTTACAAAGTTTCTAGTACTACAGCTAGTGCCCTCCATCACTGCGTCCCGGGCCAATCGTGTGTATCGGAGGAGAACGTGGAGTGCATTCGAGTGAACTTTGAGCGCAGCCCAATGAAGTCAACCCGTAGTGCTAGTAGAGAACTTGGACTATCGCAAACAACTGTGTGGCGTGTACCACCTCTTCCCACAAATTTGAATGACCTAAGAAACTGTATCACAGCTGCGGTGAACTCAGTGACGCAAGATATTTGTCATCGAGTGTAGGATGAATTCAGCTACCGTCTAGATGTTATCTGTGCAGCCGGAGGAGGCGGGGGGGCACATTGAACATCTATAAACTTCCATGTATGTATAATCAAGTGTAATTTACAGAATTCAAATGCAACATATAATTCAGGAAATATAGCCAATTGAAATTGTGTCCATCTTTCTGAATCACCCTGTTTTATTCATGTTTATTTTCTCATATCTGATGCAGTGAAACAGTGCAGCTACATTATTATGTGAATGAAGCCTGTCAGTTGTACACCTTAGGAAACAAATATATACTGCATGTTAGTGTGATGGTAAGAGCAGTAAACAATATTAATCAGCAGGTCTGCCGACTAAAGAGGCAGTAAGGTGCGCACTAAAAACTAAATGGTTGTGCAACAGTTATGATACATGCAGGGCACAGATATTATGGAGAAAAACATCTCCCTACTGCCCCAGTTGTTGTGTATGTATTTCTCTGCCTTTGAAAAAAACACTTCCGATGGACTTAAGATGTTCATTGTAGAGAAAATTTATAACATTTTTAACAGTTTACTATCTAGTCTCAAAAGTCTTATGAATGAAAAGGCACAAGTTAAAATAGCACTAAAATGATACGTAAATACACACTCATTCTGCTCTGTTGATGAAACATGGTCATCCTTTTAAAGGTGGTAAATGGTATATGTTGACATTATTGATATTATTGGATGTATTTTTGAATTCCATATGTGTACCCTCTGTGCAGTCATATATGAAAGCTTAAGTATATGTTTTCTTCTGTTTTTATGATTTATTCTGCATCATACCGTCATTTATCATTGTGGATCCACATACATATAAGTTGTGACATCTGATAGACGGGTACCCACGTACATTTCGGGAATTTTCACTACTGTGAAACCAAAGTAGACTGAAAAATGTTCCAAGCTCCTAAGAAATTTACATTTTGTGTAGATTTTCCTCATGCAGTGTCTTGTTCGGGAATAATAACCATTATGAATAGAGGTATAGGAAAACATGTACCTAATCTAATATGCTTCATATTTTGCCAGCCTTTATTGGCCATGCTCCCCATTACTGCAAGTACCCAGCTGACCAAGCATTGTACTTTTTTTTTACTATAATAAGCAGTGCTCCCCCCCCCTCCAGTATTATATATATTTATGTTTATAAACTGTTACCTCAGATTAAAATTCAGCCTCCAGTCCTGTAGTACCAGGAGATATAAAATCTTTATTTGCAGATCATAAAGGTTAAGGTTAATGGTTACTGTGTGACTTATAAGATGGGATTTGGATTGGATGATTGTATTTATTGACACCTTATACAGAGTAGTTTGGACTACAGATAATACAGTGCTATCACTGATTTACACACTTTGCAGTTTACTGTTCCACACACACACACACACACACACACACACTAGGATTCTGTCTTCACTAGTTGTATCCAGGCAGTGGATTTTATCTTCTTTGCACTGCCTAATTTCTTTCTTGCCATTATTCTGCAAGTGCCAATTCAGAAGACTCGACACAATTCAAATCCTCTGTTCCCTAGCTCATATCTTGGCAAGCTGGTGTCTTAAAACCTGACTCGACCACGGCTACTCTCTGTTCTGCCAGTTTGACGGACCCGAAGGAAAACACAAACTCTATTGTTAAGGAGGAGTGTTTACTGATCTGTTGCCTAGCAATAGATGTCATATTGTTGAGCATATTTGCTTGCGCAGGAATGTGTTTACCAAGTCATTGCCTAGTAATATAATATATACAATATAATAAATACAGTAACAGGGAAAGTGAAAGGGTTATACACTTTCAGAATAATTTTGAACTGTGTATGTGCATATGGATGAAGGCCTAGCTTCCATTTATCATTTGAAGAGTAGGCGTACACAGAACATGTATGTGTGAGAATAATGTGTACCTACATGTACAGGTGCTTAATTTTAGGATGTGTCATGTGTTGATATGGTTTTTTATTTGCTGAAACTATTAAAGAAAATTCTATACAATCAGGGTTTTCCACTTTTGAAAGAAATAAAATATAGATGCCCTTCATTATTTGCTGTTGATATGCCAGCACAAAGAAAAGGCAAGAATTTTGAGACTGGAAGAGTTGTGAAATTGTTACGAATTCAGAATCACATGATGAAGAGGTGATTGCAATGAATTAGATTTTTTTTTGGTATTTTTTGTACTTTGAAAATGTGAGAAGAGCTGTGTATATTCTGGTGTAGAGACACTTCTGTTGGTTAATCAAATCTGTTACCATTATTTTTTGCAGAACAGGATGAACAAGAAGGAGATCAAGTAGAAGAAGAAACCCTAGCCTTTACATTGGCGTCAGTGGGTGAACATTCCATTAACAGTGCTTCAGAATCTCAAGAGGCTTTGGATACTCATGTGGATGCTACGGCCATGGTAGTCACTCCCGCTTCTGCTGCCATTCCTTCTAGCAGGAATACGTCTTCTGGTGACAGGAAGCCAGATCTTGTTGTGTGATAGGACTGGCTAATGGTTAGCCATTGGGAACCAAGGTGCTTATATAGCCAAAGAAATTTGTATATAAGTGTGTGTCCCAGGTGATTATTTTGTTTTGGACATGTAGGTTGGTTAGCCTAATGGAAGAGAACAAGGAACAATGTGTGTGGGGCATCTCTCTCTCTCTTAGAAATGTACATACCTTGTATTCTGCAGTGTTATGATGTGGTACTTTAGAAGTGCTTAGAATTTTCCCTCTTTTTCAAATAGGCCGTTGCAAGACAGTTTGTAAGGCAGTATGCTGTAATTACTAGATTCTGCCATTTATAGTGTCCTGTCTGTGTTTTAGTTTTATTTTGTTGATAGTGGTAATATCCATTTTAAATATTTGCTGTTAACTATATTTGTAGGCTTGTAACAAAAATATTTATGCTGCAGGAATATTTCTGAGACCAGTGGATGAAAGTGAAGTTGGATATCTGTTTAAGAGAGAACAATTGCTATTATATTTATGTTGGTAGTATATCATATAGACATGGCATGAATGTTTTAAGCTATACTGAAACTCTTCAGGACTTTGGGATTTTATAGTCATAACAGAACAGCAGGGACTTGTTCTTGCCAGTGTCACAAATTTTATATGGTTTTATGGTGAATCATGATTTGCTTTATTAACCCTTTTAAGACCGAATTAAATGGCAACACATAATTTTGAAGCTGGTGGATTTTTTCCAGACCTTTTATTCTTGATTGCATAAATGTCAGGAGGGTGGGAATAACATCATCCTAAGTGTTTGGTCTTGAGGTGTCAACTAAAAACTGCATGAAAGAACATAAATCATGCAGAGTGTATATAGTAAAATAAATACTCAGTTCAGAATATAGTAACATTTTTTGTCAATTTGTTTGAAACAATATTCTGTAGTCCAGTAAGAGGGCAGAAATAGTGTAAATACATATGTGTGGTTTGTGGTACATTTTCATATGTAGGTTGCTGTTTTATGGTACAGACTGTGTATGCCATCTCATAAAATATCTGAATTATCATGTGCTGATACACAACATACAGGTTATGATCATCTTACTGTTATACAGTCATTGTGCTTGCAGCATTCATTCAGAGAACTTGGCAAGAATAATATGCTATTGGAAAGTTCCCAGACTAGGTCAGAAAAGAAATGCTGGCTTAACTTGTTCAATTTTGGCTGCCATCTCCTTCAAATAGTCTCTCTGGGAATGTATACAGCAATCACAGTGGGGCTAAGTCAGGTGAGTGGGAAGGAAGGGGAATTATAACCATGTTGTTACTCACAGACTCTGTGGTTTTCAGGGATGTGTGGACGAGAGCGTTATCATGATAAAGGAGCCAGTTGTGGTTACGCCAAAGTTCCGGTCTTTTTTGTTGCACATTTTCTCTCTCAAGTGTCTCAAAACGTCACAGTAAAAGTCAGAGTTGACCATAGTGTTAGGAGGAACAATTTCATGGTGAACAATCCCTTTCACACTGAAAAAACAATGAGCATGCTCTTTGTTGAACCTGCTGGACCTGCTCTGCCTTTTTTGCTCTTGGTGATTGTGGGCTCTTCCTCTGCGATTATTGTTACTTTGTTTCTTCATCATAACCGTAAATACAACTTCTGTCTCCCATTATGTTCTTAGAAATAAAAATTGGATCCTTGTTAGCCTTCTCTCATACCTCAAGACACATGTTTACGTGCTGCTGCTATTGATCATTTGTCAAGAGTCCGGAAACAAACTTTGTGGCAGTGTGGCGTATGTTCGAATTTTCTGTTAAGGTCTCCTGGCAAACTCCATAACTGATGCCAAATATGTCTGCAAGCTTATGGATTGTTCTGCGACAGTCTTTATGGATGAGCCCTCAAAATTTTTCAACAAATTCTGTCGTTTTGCTGGCGCGTGGTCACCCTAAACATTTGTCATCTTCAACTGACACTCGACTGGCCTTGAAACGTGAATGCCATTAAAAAATCGCTGTCTGGCTTAAAGAATGTTCTTCAGAAGCTTCACATAGCATTTCAAGGGTTTCATTACAGGTTTACTGTGCTTCACGCAAAACTTGATACAGACACTTTGTTCGATTTTGCCATCGATCCCAAACAAAACAAAGCACAAAGTCGAAAAAGTCCTTGTGTCAAAACGTGGCAGACTGATGTAATAGGCTTGCAGAAGTGTGATCTTGGCATCCCATCTCATCTTCTTTCACCAAGGTAGGTAGAACAAACAATAACAGGCTGGGAACTTTCTGATAGAACCTGAAAAACATGCACACAGTGGCACACCCAAAAACTGCACTAAATTACTACAGAGGCCCACAGTAAGTCCATGTGGCACATTTATTAGTGGCTTATGGTTATGTTTGGAATTGCTCTACTGTGTCACAACTCAGAATATGGCACAGTACACAGCAAGCAGCCATACAATTAATGTAATTTCCATGGTCAAAGGTTTCATGGTATTCCCAGTTTTGTCTTTGGATTTTTCTTCTGCTAATGGGCCTAAAAGTTGGTCAGTACATAGCTTATGTTCTTCGTATGGTGTATTTTACCTCAATTTATTTTCTTATATAGAAGTTATAAATACAGGGGAGCAAAAATAAATTATATTTATGGCCCAATCTCTTGACTTTTTGGAGAAGCTACACATTGGTACCATGGATAGATGTGACATCAGTGGGTGAAATTTCTTGCTGATTATTCATTTATGGTTTAGTTAATGGTCTGTCAGTAGCTCTCTCTGGGCTCAGATTTGAATCAGGCAACTCCCAAACACAGCAGAAATGCTACCCATTCAGCTGCTATGTTCATTTCATGTCGAAACTGTAACCCTCCTATCACAGTTCTGTTCTGCAGTGTTTGAACACAGAAGTGTCCAGTTGGACAATACACTTCTGAAAATCTTTAAGTTTAGAATTTCAGATACCTTTTTGAGCTTAAAAATATCTGTCATGTTTGGATAATTATTATAGATCATATTTTTATTTTCTATGGAGTTTAGAATATAGAAAGAAGGATCAAATATTGCTGTTTGAGTAGATGGAGTGGTCGGTTTCCATATTTTTGGATGATATATAGGAATGCCACTTGCTTCTATTTTATTTTATTTTATATGTATGATTTATTTAACAACACTGTCACTGAGTAGATTCATGTGTTGGTATTGCTGTAGATCTGTGTTCAGGAGGTCCTTGGTTTGAGATTTAGCTGGGACACTTGCAGTCCTGATTGAGGTTTTCTCTGGCTGTCTTAAGCCTTGCAGTAAAATTCTGGGATAGTACCTGAATTAGGCTGCTTCCTTCAAAATTCTTTCATATTTATCATTCATCACTTAGCTGAGACTATGCAGCAGTGAAGAATATTGAATAATGAACTGGAGAAGATGTGGAAGGAAGCAGTCATGGCCCAACTTGAAGTATGAGGCCAGTATTTGCCTGGAAGGACTGAGGAAAACCACCAAGTCACAGTGAGGATAGCCAGTGTCCTGACATATTCAAACTGGACATCTCCTGAATACAAGTTTTAAGACACCATCACCCTGGGACCAGTAATCCCTAATGCTGTGTTTTTTGATTGTGGCCAGTCCGAATTGTGTGGGCATTTCCATATCTTTGTGTTCATGTACTGGGTTCACTCTGAGCTGCCAGATTTGATTCCTCCAGAATTTTTTTATTACTATTTCTTGCAATTTACAATCTTGATGGCACTGACCATATAAACACCATGACCACAGTTTTTCTATTGTGTGTGTATTCATTGCTGTGGAAACATTTTTACTGAGGCACTGGCTAGCAGTGATGGGGGGGGGGATATACAAACACACAGACAGCAAGATGATCTCATAAACCTCATTTTATTTTAGCCGCCTTTCCTTATTTGAAATGAAGTTCTGGGAAGAATTAATTGCCTCCTTTCCTTTGATGTAACATGGACTGCCCAGAAACTGATGCATCCAACAATTCTTATAAAGTTGTGAGAGTATTCATTGCCACAGGAGTGTCTGTAATGAACCACTGTCTAGCAGTGATAGAGGGATGAGACACATATAGACACAGAGAAAGGTATTTTCTGGCTCCACTATTTGGCCTTTCAGGTGTTAGGGGGAATACACATACATGCAGACAACAAGGTTATCTCATAAGCCATCTATTTTTCAAAATGATCAATGTAGACTAAAAATAAAAGGTGGCTTATGAGATCACCTTGCTGTCTATGTATCCCACCCCATCATTGCTAGGCACTTGCTTGGTAAACACATTCCTGTGAAAGTTAGTATGCACAGTAGAAGAGCTATTTCATGCAGTGTTTTGTGTGATCTGGGTTTTGTCAGATACTTGGTATGTAGTGAAAGGTAGAGCAGATGATTAGTTCTTCCCAGAACTTACTGTTTCAAAATAAGGAGAGTAGGCAAAAAAATTAAAAAGTTCTCACTATACTAAGTAGGCTGTATGTGAAAAATACATTATCTGAAGAAATTCACAATTTACCCTTCTGTTGGAGTAACCGAATAAAGATGGCCAAGGTGTGCTGGATATGTTACATGCATGGATACAAAAATAATGGTTGGACAGCTTCAAGGGGATATAACAATTGGAAGTACATGACAGTACATCTGAGGACAGGGTCCAGTGGCAGAGTGTGAAAACTGTGATGATCCTTTGGAAAAAATCATAAAAATTTCTTGACTAGTTAAATAAGTTTTCAAAAGCACCTAGTTCCATGGTGTTAACACCTTTCATGCTACAAACATGATATATTGCCTTCAGGTTGATCTCTTCTGATCTAAAATATGTTCAGTGTTCAACATTATTAGTGCAGATATGTCTTCAAAAAGTAAAGCTATCCCTATAACAGGCCGTGAAGGCCCGTAGGGTTGAGAGATGTTGAGGGTCCCGCATTATCTAGACAATCAGCTCAGAGATGGCGGTAAGGTTGTCAGCCTTATGCACCGGCCACGCTTTACTCCCCAGGAAAATTATTTAATTAATTCATGGTACTCATTTCTGTTTGAGGCTGAGTAAACCCCAGGGCCTAGTGCAGCTGGAAGGATTAGGTCAACTGAAAAAATCCAGTGACCTCATCGGGACTTCAACCCACGACCTTCCGGCTTGTAGCATAGCCCTTCAACCAACTATGAACCATGTGCCCCCACACATATGTCTTACCATCTTTATTTCATCTTGGGATAATATTTTTTAATTTTGGAATTTTTAAGTTACTATTGAATAATAGGAGAAACTGTATTTAACTGAAGAAAACTGACCAAAGAAGTTGGCTGAAGCCTCAACACTTTTGGCTTGTATTTGTAGGTGCCTGGTTAAAATTTTGGCCAGGACACCAACTATCCTGACACGATTTCCGTGGTTTTCATTCAGTCCCTCCAGACAAATTCTGGGATATTAACTCAAATTAGGCCATGATTCCTACATCTTTCCCAGTTTGTCATTCCTTGATATTTCATGAGTATGGTCTGACAGATTGTCAGTATCAGTAAGTAAATAGTGAACATTAACTAAAGAAAATTCTTCATTGAAGCAGTTAATGTCTCAGAAGGAGATTTTACATTGAATAAATCTTGATTTCAGAAGCAGCCTCACAGCTGGGAGAGTATAGGCACTCAGTAGTCTGTTACAATTTTTAAGTATTTACCACCAAAAAGCAGTATAGTTCAGGTATCCATATACAGAGTTCTGGAGGTTGAAATGTCTCCTTTGAACAGCTGAAACACTTCAGTTATTATGGACCCCATTCCACCTCCTAGTCTCACAAGGGAATGGGCCGATACGACATGTCGAAACCTGCCAATTTTTTTTTTTTTTCACTGCAAGAGTACACACAACAAAATCCTCTGTCAGAATTTTAGCTGCTAATACGCACTGCAAGTGTTTTTTAAAAATTGCTGAACTTGGCCAATATTATAGCCTGCCAGACCCTTGGAGAAATGTCCAGCCCTAGCAGAGCAGAGCAGTATGCAACACGCAACATGGCTGACTCAGCCTAGGCTTCCGGTGCATCGGTAGAGATAACACGACACAAATGCATCCTAATCTGACAAGTACACAGCTGGGGTTGTACAAACCTCTGGTACAAGCGGTTCCGCGTACACAAAAAATGAGTAACTTCGGCAATTTTTAAAAAATACTTGCAGTGCATATTAGCAGCTAAAATTTTGACAGTGGATTTTGTTGTGTGTACTCTTGCAGTGAAAAAAAAAAAAATCAGGGCAGGTTTCGACATGTCGGATTGGACCATTCCCTTGTCAGAATGAGGAGAGACTTATTGTGCAGTTGGTCGGACGACGTTGACCAGAGAAGGCGATTACCAGCTAGCAGGGATCACTGTTTGAAATTCCGTTTCAGCTGGGTTACTTCAAAATTTGGTTTGGTATCTGGCTGGTTGGTAAAGTAAGGCTGCCCGCATCGCAAGCCGTTGGGTAGGACGGTCGCGATGCGTGTTATCATTTTGTATTTACCTGCATCTGTATTATTTGTGTTTGTTAGGGGCTAACCCATTTAAAGCCCAAGGGAAGTTGGAAACTGGGGCAAGTTGGTGTATTTTGCATCGCAAGTTCTGGCGACAAGATATTGCTTAGCAATCATGTATTGGGTTGTTGTACCCCGTGTTCTGCCAGGATTATGTGTTTCTTTGTTATGTCTGTAATTTATTCCATCATTCATCAGTAATTTGTCAAGACGACAGGTCCACAGTCTCTTCCAAAACAATTCCTCCACTTAATGCGATCTCAAGCTTTCTCCTTCAAATAAAAATATCCTCTTCTGTCCCCAAAGTCATCCAGCATCTCTTATGTCTTCTTCCTCGTTTTCTGGTCACTTCTATCCGCCCCTCCGGTTTGTTTTGTNTCTGTGCTTCAAGTCGCTGCTGATGACGCTGCTTCCGGCATCAGTTTTTGGTTTTTGGTGTCTCTCTTCGTCTGATGCCTACGCTTTGACCTGTCCAGCAAGGGAGGCCCTGCCAGTAGCTATGCTACCGCTGGTATAGCTCTCAGGGTCCTTGGCATACTCAAACCCCCTCACCATGATAAGGTGGAGACACCAACGAGGGGGGCAATTCATTTATTTTGTTATTAAATTTTCTTTATTGTTATCTCAGGCCAACATATCACTGTGGCTCCTCCACATAGCTTGCATACCCCATGTCTATCTCGGGGAGCGTGCGAACACAGCAGTAGAGCCAGCAATGATGGGCTGCTTCCTCCCTCTTCACGGATCTCGTAATGAGTAGTATTTGAGAGAAGGGGAAGGGGGGGGGGCGGTTCAACCTTAAGTGACATCTGTGGACATCGGTTTGCATCGGATGAAGACGTGTGTGGCTGGGTAAAGATGTGGTTCTGTAGACAGCGCGCACGCTTTTTCAAGGATGGGACTGACCGTCTTATCTCCCAATGGGATAAATGTATTAACAGTTTTGGAAATTTATTTTGGAGACTTTGCGGTTGTTGTCTGAAATTAAAATTATAAGAATTTATAATTTCAGGAATTTTTATTAGTGTTAATAAATCTATTAACGTAATGTCTTAAAATTGGTTCAAAAGTTATTACACATTATTTTTTTAATAAGTCTTTAAGCTAAATTACTCGTCGAATTACATGTTTAGTTCATAAGTTAATTTATAAAATATTCTTGAAATCAAGCTAAGACTAAAAACAGTCTAATGTCATTGATCTCATGGTTATTAGAATTATGGAGTGATACGCTGTGTGGGGGTCCTTCATCTATATTCTATCTTGCTTTTATTTCTAATTGTCATGTAAATGGTTATCCACATATTTACTCATGTCACTTGTAGGTAGGTTTGTACTTATAAGTGTATAGTTTAGGTGCTTAATATTTATTTTGTGTGTGAAGGTGTCCCCTGTTGTGTTACTGTGCACATAGCAGAGCAGTCACAATTCACACAATAGGATGCAATATATAAGAAGACAGGTAGGCCTTCAGCAGATGATGCTGTAGTCAAGAGGGTTCAGAAAGCTTTTCAGTGCAGCCCAGGGAAGACCACTCTTCATACCAGCAGAGAACTGTTCAGATGTGCAGAAGGTTGTCCATGGTCAGTTAAAACAGCATGCACTGAAGATCAAGATGGTTCTAGCACTGGGCCTTGGAAGGAATTCTCTATACAGATTTACTTCACTGGCAACAAATTCATGGATAGAACAATTTTTAGTGTTAAGTCAACCACCTGTATGGTGTGGTAAACTGACAGAATTTCAAGATTTGGGGTTTAGAGAGCCTACATACAGTTCATAAGTACAAATGGGATAGCCCCAAACTGAATGTGTGGTGCTCCCTTTCTTGCCATGAGGTGATTTGGCCCTTCATTCAAAAGCAGACGGTGGCAAGTACATATTACCTGGATATGCTTGCGCTATTTGCTGTTCCACATATAGTATACTTTCAACAAGATGTTGCTCCTCCACACTATGGCTTGATGAGGAGGTTTCTGCATGTAACTTTTCAAAAATGGACTGGACAGACCAATTTCTTGGCCTCTTTTCCTCTGGGGTTATGTAAAGGAGTACATATTCAGTATGAATGTTGCTAGTGTGGAGAAACTTTGTGCCTGGAACATGCAGTTGCTTCTGTGAACCTCGATTGCTGGAAAAAACATGGCATGAATGCCTGGACATTCTACAGGCTACAAATGGTAACCACACTGAGATGCAATAATTTTTTTTGAGTTCTTTCAAGCCATGCAAACTGTCTCAGGATTTCTTGTACTTTGTGTTTCAAGGATGGCTGTAATGTGGTGAAACTTTATGGCCACAACCATGAAGTGAAATTATGCATTAGGCCTGCAAGTTGCTCTGATGAGAGGTGTCCAGTTCTTGCAAAATGAAACTCACTATACATGCATACAGCCTACAGATGATAGTGAAGGCAGGTAAATATATTGTATGTATATATATTTGGATTGTCACAATCCATTTCTAGTGCTGTGTTATTGCAAATATTCATGTAATGTAATGGATGGGTATCATTCCCCTTTCTGAAGTACACAATTAGAATCCAGACCAAAATATTATAATATATTTAAACTTTAAAAATATAGATGATACACAGAAATAAATGGAGCATTTTCTACCATCAGTGGCTTTGAACTTCATGCTACTTCAAGCACATTAATATCTCTTCTGCTCTAGGTTTGGACACTGAATATGAGTATGCTTAAAAAGTTGGACCACAGAAGAGTAAAAGAGGCCGAAACATGCATTAAATAGAATAAAATGGGAATGCTTATAAATCACCCCATTTTTTCGAAGTTGCCATCTGGTTAATATATATATTAAGGTCTTAGGCACATAATGCCGAGCATTAAAGTCTATACCAGTCAGGTAAGTCTGGGATGGAGCACAAATACTTTTACGTTTTCTATACATGTTTTCTAAACTGCAAACCCACACGCAAAAATAGCATTACTTCTGATGGCTACTTTTGACTTCAACATGAAGTTGTGAGAAGACCTTGTGATGCCTATGTTTACGAAAATGTTTCTCAATGGTGAGGCCATGAATATGATAGTCGAACTGCTGCATCTGCATTGCCACTGATTTAAGCCGGAACTTCACTTATTTTGGCACACAAAATAATGAGGAACGTTATATACTTCATGGCAAATACCTGTATAGTAGCGGATACACTGTTATTAACATCTGAAACTATTCCAACTACTTTTACTTTTACTAAAATGGCATAAGGATCGTGTTCCTACTGTGCAACGGAAATCTGCAAAATTAGGTTTGATGCATTCACGTTTTCCTGTATGACAAAAGGGCAGATGTCCACTACTATGAACCAGTCGTTCGTACATATAATGTGGATTTTCAGGTCTCCACAGCACCAACCATAGCAGGAATCAATATCACAAGCATTCCTGTTCAGGTTTTCATAACGTTCATAACCGCAACGGTCTGCTTTCCATTCTTCTTCGGCGTTTACCTTTTATTGTCGTCGCGGTCGTCGCCTACCTAATCATTTGTACCTATTGGTTGTATTGAAAGCTGCCGTGAGAAATTCTACAAAGACTACAAACTCGTGCAGTTCGTGCAGCTCATCGCTGCACATCGCTGAAACAGTTGAAAGCAGTCTGCGTCGAACGCTGCTAAGGAGCGGTTAGTGTGGTTGTTATCGTTCGTGTCGGTTTGTTCGCGTGCTCCCTGATTGCGTAAACATTCGAGAAACTTTTCAAATTCAGGATGAATATAACATCCGCAGGTATAGTAACACATAGAAGTTAATAATTTATTTTTTTATTTACGTTGTATTGAATTTCTCGGCATTATTATGCCAACAAAATGAACGCTGTTACATGCAAGTCATTGGACTTGACGTCTGATTTTAGGTTATGTTGTACACGTTCCTTTTGGAGTCTGAGTCACCGCTTTTGTATATGCTGATAGCGTGTGCGTGTTGAAATTTCCGAGGCACATTTTCTGTGGATTCTTATTATTTTATATTTGTGTTATTTTTCTAGCGGGAATAATATCTCTCCTGGAAGAGCCCATGCCAGAGCTGAAAGTGTTTGCACTGAAGAAGCTCAATCTGATTGTTGATGAATTTTGGCCTGAAATTTCAGAAATAATTGAAAAAATGTAAGTTTGTTTTGAAGTTCGGATATGTTCGTAACGTAACCCATGACAGGAAACTACTTGCATTTTTATAGTACTGGTATAGTAATGCTTGTGATGATGTTACTTTAATTGTGTTACCCGTAATTTAAAAATTGTACAATCATTCTGAACTGAAATTTCAAACAATAACACGGTTGTTTGATATGATTGCAGTGAAATTCTTCATGAGGATAAAAATTTCAATCAGCATGAACTGGCAGCTCTTGTGGCCAGTAAGGTGTACTACCATCTTGGATCATTTGAAGATTCTTTGACTTATGCCTTAGGAGCGGGAGACTTGTTTGATGTTAATTCACGGACTGAATATGTAGATACAATTATTGGTAAGCCATCTATTTGGTTTTATATTAAAATCCCAGTAAAGTAGAATCTAAAGGGTTCTGATGATTGTGTATAATAATCAGAATTACTGGGTTTTTGGACTTCATCCATCATCCTGTAGTCTAAAAACCAGAGAACACAACATTTTGGAAACTGGGTCTGTTTCCATCCTTAGCTGAAGGACAGACATCTAATCTGTTGGGTCCTTTAGGAAGATCTAACCTCAGTCACTGGACTGGATCAAGTAGAGTATCTTATATTTTCCTATAAGTCAGCATATTACTAAAAGTACCCAACACATGTAATAAAATACCTGAATGTGGAAAAATTTATATTTTTTTAAATTTTACTAGTTACTTTAAGATCAGAAGTTTTTAATTTTTGAGAGATGATTTGAATTGCTTTGAGACTTAATAGTCTAGGCCTGCATAGTCATGGAAGAAAGTGATTGCATGTTTTTTCTTATTATTTTCAGCTAAGTGCATTGACCATTATTCACAACAAAGGGTTGTTGGACCTGAGAATGCTAATGATGCAAATGAGATTGACCCTCGTTTGGAAGCAATTGTGAACAGAATGTTCCAGCGCTGTCTGGATGACAGTCAGTACAGGCAGGCCCTTGGCTTGGCATTGGAGACAAACAGAATGGATATCTTTGAGAAGGCTATTGTCGAATCTGTGAGTAGTTTTACAGTAATTAATACTTAGTAAATAGTGTGTATGTATCGCATAGTCTGTTATTTTTTAAATGTTATTTTTCTCAGTTCTTCTTATTTAGAGGTCTGATATTTAGACCCTGGGTATTCCCATCTGTCTACACCCATTCTAATAGTCCAGTCAGATTCTTGGCACTATAATAATGTTTTTTTAAGAATATATGAACATTTTATTAATTTTTGTAAGTGGCTGTGAGGATATGGCTGAGCATGGTGACATGTTTCTTGTAATAGGAATAACAGATATGTTTGTGACGCTTTATTTTGGATCTCTTAAGTTTAAAATCAGTTTCAGTCTCTAGCTCACCATATATTCCCATGATCTGTAGTAGTCTTGTTTCTTTGGTGATACAAATTTGATATGAAATTGTGTTCATTTGTTGCAGGATGATGTAAATGGAATGCTTTCATATTCATTCCAAGTTGCTATGAGTCTTATCCAGAACAGGGGCTACCGTAATATAGTACTGCGTTCATTGGTTGGACTGTACCGAAACCTGGCGACACCGGATTATGTCAACATGTGTCAGTGTCTTATCTTCCTTGATGATCCATTGGCTGTAGCTCAGGTTCTGGAGAAACTTAGCAAGGATACAGAGGTAAGAGCAAATGATTGATTGTAAAATCTTGTAGGAATATCGGTGTATGTATTGTGTTGATAATACAAGAATGTACAGTGTTGGAATGCAGTGAAGGTTGCATCTGTAACACATTTTGAAAACCATTTTGGAACTTGCATATTAATAGGTTATCCAAGTAACTTTAAATTTGTCAACCACATTGACATTGCTAACCACAGAAGTTTATGTGTTGAAACAAGACCTGAAACCTAATCTTAGAATTTGCCTCCAACAGCAAGTCCACATGATGAGGTTTTTGGTTCCAGCTTGAAAAAGTTAGAATTCTGAGTTTGTTTTTAAAAATGAATTTCTTCAAACTATCTATGGTTAGTTTCTGGGATTTACTTTTGTACATTTACTACTATAGTTGGTATTGCTAATGCAGTGGACAGCATGGCGGTAAAGTTTGAAGTTACTTGGGTTGCCTGTTAACATGCGGGCATTCCTGTCATTTTGAGTTTACTTTCCTTTCATGAGAGAGCTGTAGGTTTGTGAGATGATCCATGTGTCTCATTTTTCAAAATTTGAAGCAGTTTACCAGTTTTCACATAATTTTTTGGCAGTGTAGGCCACTAATTTGTTACTGTTAGTACAGTGGAGTCGCATTATACACGCATTTAACTTATATGAATTCAACCATATGCTCTCACAAAAAGAAAATATATATACAGATTTAAACAGCACAGGTAATTCTGCATTCCGTGCCACACAGTGAACGTAGGCCCATGTTTACATATAAACTGATTCTGCCTCAGTTCCCACGTGTTCAGGTTTACTGTGTTGCTCTTTCATTCTTCCATCTCTGATTTTTATGTAATTAAAACTAAAATTCCCACTATATGGGATTTTGGGTTGACGCAAAGTTGTTAGAACATAACCCCTGCGTAAGATGCGATTCCGCTTTAATAACAACATGGGAGATGTACATGCTTGTGAGGTGAGATCAGTGAGAGTGCAGTTTAAAATGGTGTCCTGAAATGGCGTATAGTAATAGATATTTAAACAGTTTGCAACTTTTGTTAATGCAACTTTAGTTGTAGAATGTAAACATTGTCACTGTGGCTGTGTGAAAGTGTTTGTTTAACTGTATTTGACAGTGATAACCATTGGAGCTATGAGTATGCAAGCGGCAAAAACATGTGCTCTAGTAAGGCAGTCCTGTGACCACCTGTGCACCAGACCAGTGTGATAATCCTTGCACTAAAATGTATTTTATTGTCTACTTATCAAATTACATTACCAGAATATTAAATGAAGGAAAGATTTATAGGACTGGAAGTGTGAGTAATAGAAAAATAGGTTTTATAGTTCTGTCCCAAATTGTAAGTAAAGAAATTTAAACCTTGTTCCATGCCGTGGATTTTTGCTTTTGAATTGAGGATATTTATTTTTCAGTTAGATAAAATCCTGAAATAAATAAAGTACTGTAGATAAATTTTTCATCATCTTATATTATGGATTATTGAAAAGTGTTATTGTGCAGAATGCATGGCTGCATTTTGTTGTATAAAATCTTTCTAATGATAAAGACTTGTGACGCAATGGCTAGTACTGAATGTGATTATATCCAGTATACTTATGTGGTGATTCTGTGTGAATACATTTTGCACAAGATTAAAAACTGCAATTATTGGAGAAATATAGCAATAGAAGTATNGTCCAAAATAAACCAAAAGAAGTAGTGTATACACCATCATCAGAATCCTTTCAAGTCTATAATGTACAGGATGTTTACAAATATTCACTATGTTCTTGATTCTCACCATGTTTTTTGTTGTGGTTTAATTTATGATAATGTTAGTATCTAGACATTATAGCATCAAATAATATGAAGATTAAAGAATGGGAAAGGATTTGGATGGAAGGTGTCATAGTGTTATCAAGATATGATCATGGCATTTGCTTGGAGGGTCGAGGAAGTGTATGAAAATCGCGGTCACGATGGCTGGTGTTCTGGCTGAAAGTCAAACCAAGCATATCCCGAATACAGGATGTCCCAGGAGGATAGGTCAATATTCTGGAAGGTCATAGTATCCCCCATTCCAAGCAAAAAAGTGTATATGTACATGTATCCTGTTCTGAATGATTTGCGAGATAGAGCTGTTTGTACAGTTCCAGAATTGTTGATAAGAAAGGTATATTATGTATTGTTTCTGCTACCACTATTTATTGTTCAAGCAATNACTTTCCCACGATATCAGAGAAATTCAGGAATGAAAATGACGTTACATACGAGGTTGATGCATTTGTGCATGTCGTACTAAGCAAGGTATAAAAACAGTTGCTTTATGAGGAATTAGTTCGTACCATTGAATATTTGACGCAGTAGACAAGGTGTCGCAGAAACCGATGTTGCTATAACCAAGTTTTACTATATATATACATATTTTTTTTAGTGCTAGTGGGGTGGGACTAAGTCCTTTGTAGTGCGGCCATTTCTGGCCTGTTGTACCAGCCCCAGATGATAGGTGAGGGTGATTGTGGAGCAGTTGGTGGAATGAAGATTGGCAGGGGAAGCCGAAGTACTTGGAGAAAACCTGCCCCAGCGCCACTTTGTCCACCACAAATCCCACTTGACCAGACCTGGGATCGAACCCGGGCCACCACAGTGGGAAGCCAGTGACTAACCGCTTGAGCTGTGGCATGGCCTAGGCACATATATACTTTTTGGCTTAGAATGACCTCCTAGAATACTGACCTTTCTTCCTGACTCACTCTGTATAAGTCTAGAACATTACCACTGCACAAACTAACTTAGTCTTAGTGTTCCTTAATGATGCAGCAATATTTATTATCCTTTTCACATGTAGGCTTTTAGTGTGACCATTCTTAAACACGGTGTTTTGTAATTACAGGATAGTGTTCTAATGGCTTATCAGATTGCTTTTGATCTGTATGAGAGTGCTACACAACAGTTTTTGGGCCGAGTCCTCCAAGCCCTAAGAGCTACGGCCCCCATTCCAGCAGCTACAGATAAGATTGTCAAAGTCCCAGTTGAGGGTGTAACCAAGGAAGACACTTCTGGAGAATCCAGCTCTGAAGCAAATGAAGAGGAGAAGAAACCAGAGAGGAAGTTGGAGAGCCTTGTAAGTTAGACTAACTTTAGTTTTCCTGCTCACTACACTGTCTGTTTGCATGTGCCCAGAAATCTTTATGTTATTGAGTTCCTTGTCATTGGGTCTCTGAAGAAAGCACTGAAGTCTCGGTGATTCCAACTGAATGCTAAAATGCTGTAGGCCATGCATGGTTGGTTATACTAGCAGACTATTAATATGTAGGAGAAATGCTTCTGATGTGCGATGACTCAATGGAGAACTATCCTTGATGCTTGTGATGGATGAAGTAGATTTAGTAAGTGATCTCAGGAAATTTTTTCTTTTGTCAGTAAGAAGACCTTTAAGATGCCACAAAGGGCTGGAAAAATGTTATTGCTACATGACTGCTGTATTGTATTTAGTATTTTGTGTTTCATTTGTTTTAGAATGAAGAAGAGAAATGTCACCAGCAGAGGGTTGAAAAATTGACAAGCATTCTAAGTGGTGAAGTCTCAATAGACCTCCATCTTCAGTTTCTGATACGTAGCAACCATTCAGACATGCTTATCCTGAAGAACACTAAAGATGCCATCAGAGTGTCCATCTGTCACACTGCTACTGTCATTGCAAATGCTTTTATGCATAGTGGAACTACAAGTGATCAGTTCTTGAGGTGGGAGATTGAATAGTACTGCTTTGATTCATGGTCATGTGTGAGACAACATTTTTTTCTTTACCGGTCACTGCAGTGGCCATTTTCCTATTTCTTTCATGCCATTTATGGTGAACTCTTGTACACGGTTAACCCTTTCTTTTCCGTATATATGCCAGAAATTCATTCACTAGTTTAATCCTAACTTCTGGGCATAGTACTGACATTTGCTATGAAAAGGTGAACATTAAAAATACTTTTCAAGAATGAAGTTTTCAGGGATAAACTGTTATTGATTGCTTGGCTCTTGAAAAAGGTTGGTCGTCTGTGTTTACAGAATCGGCGGGTATTTGGAAAACTGTATAATGAACTAATGGGGGAGTAGTATCCTTGAGATGCCAGTGGTTGTATATACACTCAAGAAATTCCCAAATTTATGAAACTTGAAGGTTCATCACCATTTTTGAAAGAGACCACCACTGGGCCCTGTCCCAAGTCATATGTGTCCAGTCCACACCTTCCCAATCTATTTTCTGAGATCCACTTTAATATTATCATTCCCTTTATGTATAGGTGTTTGTAGTGGCCTCATTCATTCAAGTTTTCTACCAAAACTTTGTGTTCATTTCACTCCCATGCATGCATGCATGCCTTACCAGTCAAATCCTACATGATTTTAATATTTTTGAAAACTGTCAATAACAGAAAGTTGACATAGCTTGTTTACATGTCTTGTTCTTGAAGAAAGGTACCAAGTTAACTCTGTAGCCATACCTGTGTAAATGCCACACAATCATCCCAGAGAAAACATTAATGTGGTTAATTATTTCCTAGGTATGAAGAATCATTTCTGAAAGTGTATAAACATCTGAAATATCTGCTGTTATTATGTTGTAGTATGTATTGAGGTTTGTATGTGAGATTTTAATTCATATATGATGCTTTTTGGTGGAACAGACAGTTGACTGGAGTGCCATATTTGGCCTTTGGGTTATAATTGGTTTGCTGAGGTTCTTGTGATAATCATGTCAGTTTTATACTGTGAAAGAATACACTTTCCATATTGTTTAAATGTTCCTTTCTGTTTGTTATAGCTATTTTTTAGTTTTCATTTATTTAAATTTATTCTAGGGATAATTTGGAATGGCTTGCCCGAGCTACAAACTGGGCAAAGTTAACAGCTACAGCATCTCTGGGAGTGATTCATCGTGGCCATGAACACGAAGCCCTGCTTTTAATGCAGAGTTATTTGCCAAAAGAAGTTGGACCAAGCTCTGGGTACTCGGAAGGTGGTGGCCTGTATGCCCTTGGTCTCATTCATGCCAATCATGGAGCTGTCATAACTGATTATCTGCTGGGACAACTGAAAGATGCACAGAATGAGGTGGGCTTTGTTTTCTATATATATTATGCAGAACTTTGAATTTATATGATGGATTCTATATGTTGTATGTGTGGTGGTGTCATGGGCTGTTTTGGTTAACACTTCACGGGTCTTTCCAGTGATATTATAACTTGGTTTAACATGTACGTGGTGCTGTCAGTTAGTTCCCGAAATTTGAATTTTGTGCGCGAATTGTTATGAGTACGTTGAAATACCGCTAGATGTCTCCCCGCACACCCTTTTTGAATCAATGTGGCAAGGGGCGTCGAGTTGAGTGGTTGGGTTTATTGTTGGTGAACGTATTTCTGTTGTTGTGTTTCCGTGAGTATATGGTTTTGCGATGGCTGACCTGAGGGAGCAGCGTGTCTCTATAAAGTTTTGTTTTAACTAGGGAAAACTGCTGCAGAAATGTATCAAATGTTGAAGCAAGCTTTTGGTGACAACAGTTTAGGCCAGGCACAAACTTACCACTGGTATAAGCGTTTCAAAATTGGCTGAACATCGGCTGATGATGACAATCGTTTGGGAAGGCCATCAACTGGCACCACACGAGAAAATGTTGCGAAAGTTAGGGATCTGATTCTAAAAGATCGTAGACTGACCATCCAAGACCTCTGTAACACCTTGGGACTAAGTTATGGTACATGTCAACGAATTTTGTCAGAGGAACTGAACATGAGGATTGCAGCGAAGTTTGTGCCATGACTGCTGCAAAATGAACAAAAGCACCATCACTTGGAAGTCTGCAGGGAACTTCAACAACAGCTTCAAGAGGACCCAAACTTTCTTTCGAAGGTTGTCACTGGTGACGAAAGTTGGGTTTATGGCTACAACCCTGAAAGTAAACAGCACTCTTCGCAATGGAAGAGCCCTTCTTCACCTCGGCGAAAAAAAGCTTGACAAGTCAAGCGCAACATTAAGTCTATGTTGATCTGTTTTTTGATATTGAAGGGATTGTTCATAAGGAGTTCATCCCTCCTGGTCAGAGAGTCAATAAAGAGTTCTGTCACAATGTTCTAAGGTGTTTGAGGGAGGACATGAGGAGAAAACGTCCAGAGAAGTGGTGCAAGAATGACTGGGTACTCCACCATGAGAACGCACGACCACATATGGCTTAAACTGCAGGCATTTTTGGCTAAAAACAAGATGGCAGTTGTTCCCTACCCACCGTACTCGCCAGTTTGTGGCGGAAGCGGCCAGATTTGTGGCAGTCGGGTGACTGGTTTTTCCATCATGACAATGCCCCTGCTCACACAGCCCTGTCTGTACGACAATTCTTGACCAAAAATGGTATGACCCCTGTTCCTCACCCTTCATACTCACCTGACCTTGCCCCGTGCGACTTTTTTTTGTTTCCTCGAATGAAAAGAGACATGAAAGGAAAGTGTTTTGCTGATGTTGCTGAGGTGAAGGAAAAACGACGGAGGAGCTGTCAAGCATCTCAAAAGATGAATTTAGACAATGTTTTGAAAAATGGAATAAAAGACTAGACAAGTGTATTAGTGTAAGTGGAGAGTACTTTGAAGGGGATTGAAGGTTTGTGCTTAAAATTTGAATAAATAAGTTTAAAATAAAATAAGTTCGGTTTCTTTTGGGTACCCCCTCGTATAAAGATAGCTAATACTTTGAATATGTGGCAGATTTAAAATATATGGAAACAACAGCAAGAAATTAAAATTATATTCATGAAGAAATTAATAGTATATAAAATTCAAGGAATGTTTAGTATCATTCAGTTCACTGTCTTTTTCTATGTCCTATCTAAAAATATGTATGTTAAAATACACAAAACTGTAGTTTTACCTCATGTTTTGTACTGGTTTGAGATTTGATCCCTCACCCAAAGAGAAGAACATAGATTTGGACTGTCTGAGAGCATTGTTGAGGAGAATATTTGGACATAACAGAGAGGAAGTATCAGGATGTGGCAGGAAATTTCATACTTACTAATCTGTTCACTTCAAATATCATATCGGTGATAAAATGGAGAAGGTGGATGGGACATGAATTACACATGAGGAAGATGAGAAATGCATACATAATTTTTGTTGGAAGACTTGAAAGGAAGAAACAGTTTTGGAGACCTAGGCATGGATGGGTGAATAATATTGAAATTGGATCTCAAAGAAATAGTATTCAAGGATGTGGATTTGATTTGTCTGCTCAGGATAGGGTCCAGTGGTTGAGTCTTGTTAACATAGTAATGAATCTTTGGATTCCTTAAATGGCAGGGGAGTTTTTTGATTACCCTATCGACTGTTACTTTCTGGAGAATGACTATATTCTGCACATGCATCTGATGTACAAATTTTTGTATGTTGGCCATGTTTTGAGATATATGATGAAATTAAATTTGATTTTTTTTTTCATATTAATTATCACATGTTGCATGCTGTGGTAAATGTGCTTCTGTTACTGAGTGTGATATTTTCATTTCATAAGATGGTGCGTCATGGTGGTTGTCTTGGCCTGGGCCTGGCTGCAATGGGAACAAACAGGCAAGATGTGTATGAGCAGCTCAAATTTAACTTATACCAAGATGATGCAGTGACAGGTGAAGCTGCAGGCATTGCTATGGGCATGGTCATGCTGGGCTCAAAGGCCACCCAAGCTATTGAAGATATGGTGGCGGTAAGTACACTTTTGTACCCTTGATTACAGCACGTGGCTGCAGAAATTATATAGCCTGTAGTTAACAGTAGCATTGCAAGAGAGAGAGAGAGAGGGTGCGATTCTCTCTGAGAAGGCCCGAAACTGATAATGATAAATCACACAGTAATTTATTGATGAAAGCAAAACTTGGCAGGAATTTGTACTGTTGCAACATTTCCCTGGTGCCTGTTTGCCTGGTTCGTGCCATTTGAATTACCGACAGAAATGTAGCACTATTCGCAAATGTTGGCCTGTGTCTTCAGGTAAAGGGAAGTCAATTTCAACACCTTCTGTAACACAAATATCTCCATGTTTACTGAGATAGGTACTCACTAAGTAGCATTTCCATTAACAAATTATTGTATGATTTGTTGTTAGTAATTTGGTTCCTCCTCTGAATGTATCATCCTTTATGTAGTAATGTATAAAATCAGAGCAGAGTCACAATAGATATAATACCTTTTTTCTGTTCAAGTTGGGTAAGAGCAGCATTAACAGTATAATGACAAAGTGAGGCCCTGCAGTTTGGAAAATGTAATTCCCCCTGTATCTGTCTTTGCAGAGGACACTCTCATAGACAGAGAATCACTGTAAAACTCTGGTGTTACATGTGTACCACTCTGTATATTATGATGACACAAGGATGTCACTTAATTCTGATTATTCGATGTGGTATGCTATTAGAAGAAAAGTATAAATATAAGTAATGATTCACTGCACTGATATATCACAATAGCATAAAATTGCTCATATTTGTTTGAGCATATTGAAAAGGTAAATTTGCCCATTATAGGCAATTTGGAGTGACCTTTAAATTGGTAACTAGTGAGAGTTAAAAGTAGTGCAACATTGATAGAATGAGAATTTATAAAATTCGTAATAATGCCTGTTGTAGTGGGTACTTGAAATAATCTGAAAGTGGTTGAAATGCATGATCTTGAAGTTACTCTCCTAGGCGTAAGCAGCCTCCATAGTCTAGAGGTAACGTTCCCACCTCATGACTCGTAGTACGCGGGTTCAAATACCCGGCGGAGGTCGTCGAAGTTTTAAGGGCGGAAAAATTCAGGGAACAAGTCCTCCGGGAGGGACTTTAAGCTGTGGGTCCTGTGTCGTAGCTTTACGGCACGTAAAAGAACCTCATATCTCCAAAGGAGGTCACTGAGCCAAATTAATGGACGTTTCCCGCCCAACAGCAATCTCTAATACCTCTGGTAGATGGGGGAAGCATTATAGATACCTCTCAGCTCGTAGAGCTGGTCTTGCAGGCTGGGCGGGACTGATGGTAAGCACCAGTACCGATAGGATATAGAGACTGGTAGAAATCATAGAGGGAAGCACAATGGACCAATACAGATCTCAGTGCATGGGGAAACCCACCCTCTCCAATAACTAACTATCTAACTAACCAGCTACTCTCCTAGACATTGAATTATGTATATAACAATAGTGCACCAAGGTTTAAAAGAATTATTGCGGGTACTGCAATATCTGTTAATTTTGGAAGTGTTTATCATAGAGATGTGAAAATAATAAAGAATAATTCAACAGTTTTGATGTCTTTAGTAGTATCTGAACTGAAAATTAAATGTTTTCTCTTACTTACGTAATCTCCTGCAACTCACTACTTGATAGCATTTTATAGCTTGTTAAGATTCAGTTGCAGTGCTAGAGACATTAAGGTTGTTGACTGATAAGTTGTGAATCCATTGCAGCAGGAAAGCTATAAATCATAATATCATGGTTCATCACTGCATATGTTTATAATTTGGAATTAGACTGCTTGTGAGACTAGACGTATTTTATTTCCTATTTGTAGCTCCCGTAATGATATTTGGACTGAAGAGAGATGAGGTGATGGGTAAAAGGTAAAGTTGTCCCTGTAACGGGCCGTGGAGGCCCATAGGGATGTGAGATATTGAGGCTCCAAAATTTTCTAGACATTTGACTCACAGATGGCGGTGAGGTTGTTAGCCTTGCTCGCCGGCTGCCCTTTACCCCCCAGGAAGATTCCTGATACTTGGGCAATAGTGCAGCTGGAAGGATTAGGTCAATGTAAAAATCCAGTGACTTCATCAGGAATCGAACCTGTGGCCTTCTGGCTTGTAGCATAGTATACTTAACATAAAGTTTCTGTTTCATTTTCCTCTGAAACTGTAGTTCTTCATGTGAAGTGTCTCTTATTTTTATCCAGTTTTAACTAAAACTGGGATGTGTCAAGAAATTGTAGCGAAACAGTCTAATATTAACTTTGATGAAAACTCATTTAATGGTTTTCGAATTATATTATGCTTACAGAATGACCAACAGAGCAGTTTTAATAGACACTGTGTAGGGTTGTGAACAAGTCTGAAAATATTGTGTCCGTTACTTTTTTTTGTCTTTGTAAGGGTCCATGTTTGGCATTAATTGTTATTACAGCTATCCCTCATTATGCATGATCTCACTTTACTTAATTTCATAACTGTGATAAATATTATTATGCACATTATGCACTTGACACTCTGCGATATGCATGAACAGTCACACATGGTCAATTGTCTCAGAATCTCTGCCGTTGTACACTGTGTATATCTCAAATAACGTTCTGTCTTTTTAATTTTTTGAAACCATAAACTTAACTTTTAACCACAAACATAGAAACAGTGACAAAAGCTGTACCAGTGGCAAGAAACAAAGGAAATCTGTTACCCTTGAGCAAACATTAGATGTGATTAATGTATCACATTGAGGTATGAATGTAATACACATGTGGTTGACATAGCCATTGCTTTGGTAATCTCTGAATGGCTTTCAGAACCATGAGGAAACAAGCTGTGAAAATTCAGCAAGAAGATGGCTAAATTAGGTAACCAATTATGGAGAAATTGGAAAGGTTGCTTGCACATGGGATTGGGCATCAGCACCAATGTGCCTTTTCTCTAGCCGCTTTGATCACTCAAGCTAAAGTGAAACTTTTGAGAACCTGAATGCTGTTTACCCACATCTAAAAGTGCAGTATTTTGCTGCCATTGCTGGGTGTATGAATGTTTTAAAGGCTGCCATGGATTCCACAACCTTAAGCTAAAAGGCATAGATGCAGTAGCTGATTTAGTTGCTGCTGAGATATTCCCAGCGCTCTTTCAAGTGACAGTTGGAAGGTGTTGATGTTTGTCCATGCAGATTTTCTGTCTGAATGAGATTGGGTTGTTCTGGAAGCAATTACTGAGCATAACGGTTGTCTCATTGCAAGAGAATATGGCCCCAGGATTCAGACCTTCCATGGATCATTGCACACTGCTGTTAGTTGGAAACACATCTGAAGATTATGAAGCCAAATCTCTGGAGATATATCATTTAGAAAACTCTCAAGTACCGAAGTTGGTTTTGGCTGTTGTATGGCAGTCTACTAAAAAAGCCTGGATTACAGCAAGCTTATTTGAATCTTGTAAGATTTGAAGTTTTCATGGCAGTGACTATGAAGAAAACAGTCTTGTGGGATGTGCCGTGTGGATATTGTGTTAACCGATGTTTCAGAGGAACATATCACCTCCATCTTCAGGGTAGAGGAAAAAGAAGAAATCCACGAGTGAACCAGCATGAGCAGGTGCTAATAGACTGTTCCTCCAAAACATCGGTTAACACAATATCTACATAGAGCCACATCCCAGAAGACTGCTTACTTCTTATTTGAATCTTATTTTCCTAGTCAACTCCCCATTTAAGTGAATGGCTAGTGGGAGAATGAACATAACTTAATAAATTATTTTTATTCTGGATAATGCTCCTGGGCACCCCTACACATTTCTGATATTGATGAGAACATTAATGTAATACTTCTGCCTCCAAAAACCACATCCCTTATCCAACCAATGGATTAGGGTGTTTTTGTCACTTTTAAGAGTTAATGTCTTGGGAAGACATTCTTCCAGGTAGTTAAGGACACAACTGGTGGTGAACACCATCTTTCTGTGAAAGATTTCTGGAGGAATTTTAACATTAAAAAGGCGATTGGCATGATTGGAAATGCATGTGCAGACATGTCACAGTCCTGTGTGAACAGAGTTTGGTGAAATATTTGGCCTGCGCTGACTTCTGTGGCAATGATCCTGGAGAGGAGATTGGCAGTTCAGTGCATGCCATTTTGACATGGCTAATACTCTTGGATTTGAGGGTGCATATGAGGCCAGTGTGGAGGAATGGTGTTAGCCCCACCCCCAAGGAGCTCAGCAGTGAAAATCTGTAGCTGGAGAAAGAACTGAATGATGAAGATGATGAATCCTGTAGAACACCTCTCAGTGAAGCAACTACCTGACATTTGTAAGCACATCAACATGATAATGATGCTAGCAGGGAGAGAACTGCCAAAGTTACGAGAGCAACTGAGAGTGCTGTTGCTTGTTGCAAAGAGCTCTGTAGCAACAGTCCAGAAGCTGCACGGTAGCATTCCCTCCATCACTTCTTCAAGAGAGCTGAAATTTGTCAGTTCACTGACGCTGCAAGCAAGCTGGTCCACACTTACCATCATCCTCTTGAGTCATCTGGTTAAATTATGTATGTTTGCTGTGAAGTGAATAATGTTAATCTTTTTTTTTATTATGTTTTGAGTCATATTTTTCTGTTTGGAATGTATTCATATTATAACTGTGTTAAAATTAATCCACTTTGTGTGGCAATTTCTAGGAAAACATTGAGGGATAGCTGTGTGTAAATGAGTAGTGTCAGGGTGAACTTTATGAAATAGCTTAGGGGAATGACCAGTCGCCAGCTTTTGTGAACACAGAGTTAAGTCTTAAGTTACCATAAAGGTAGAGAACATCTTGAACAGCTGAGTTACTGATGGAAGACTCTGTAGTGAGTAGTTAGGCACTGTAATTAGGCAAAATCAAAGAAACTTATAATCTAGGAATATCCGTAGCAACGAGTGTTCATTGCGTAACAACACATGGTAAACATCCCTCCCCACTAGGATATGACATCACGCAACATTAGGGCGTCTATTG